ATGTGGTGGTGTATGCCTCCAGCTACTTGGAATGCTGTTACAGGAGTATCCAAGTTGAGGACAGCCTGGGCAACTTAGCCTCTGTCTCAACGTAAAAAGGGCTTGGGATGTGGCTCAGTGGTAGAGCATTGTCTATCATGGGTAAACCTCTGAATTCAGTCCAGGAGAGAGGGGGAAGAGGCAGTGTGAAAATAGTTAACACTATATATTCAATGCAGTCATTTTCTATAGGGCAGTAGTTTGAGCTGTTAGCTAGTATGTTTTCTTTTGGGATGTAATACACGTTCAAATTCTTCCATTTCTTTTTCTGTTAAATTTAGGTTAGATGTCAAGAGCAACAACATAACAGCCAAATGGCTATATTATGATTTACTTACAGTTATGGCTTATGTGGTTTCTGTGTTGTGGATTAGGAGCCTTTAGACGAATTCTATAGAATATCTGATTAAAGGAGTTGTACAAATTAGAATTTTTGAAATCCTTGATGCAAATCAGATTATAGTATTGGAGAAATTCAGTAATTTTGATTTTTTTTGCCAGATTTTTTCTTTTATGATTTTTTCCTGAATATTAATAGATCCATCAGAAACAAAGAATCTGGAAATCAGTTAATTCAGATAGTATTTTTAGAGATAATGTCCTTCCATCAAAACCATTCTTACATAAATTTTGCATTGAACCACATGTGAATAATAATTTGATGATACATAAGTAGATGGTTCTTTTATTCTTAAGTTTTTCTGGTTCAATTTTATTTTAAGAATTACTACAGGATAACTTACTTATTATTTAGAATGTTTTTAAGTTAATTTATATGTATTTCACCATAATACTTAACATTTCTATCATAATCCTAAGCGTAATAGGAAAATCATCATTACCTCCTAGGACCAGTGATCGTTTAAAGAAACATTTACCTAAGTCATTTTAAAATATAATTTAGAGGAACTGGGATTATGGCTCAGTGGTAGAGCACTTACTAGCATACGTGAGGCACTGGGTTCAATCCTTAGTACCACATAAAAATACATAATTAAAATAAAGGTATTGTGTCCATCTATAACTAAAAATATTAAAAAATAATTTAGAGGAGTTAGAATAAAAGAATAGTATATAACAAGTGTTAGCAATTTTGCCGTGCATTTATATTCAGCAACTTTGGATTTTTTAATATTTTTCCTGGTTTTGAAAGTAACTGAAATGGCAGTGTCTTCTGAATGGAACTCAGTGCAACAAGTTTGCTCATTAGTTGTCAGACATTCAAATAAGATCCTAAAAAGTTCTAGCTTATCATTATTTCCTATTCTTATACTTAACAGCAATACTTGAAGACATTTGTTTTGTTGCTGTGCTGGGGGTGGAACTAAGGACTTTGTGCATGTTAGGCAAACGTTCTGTACATCCTCAGCCCTAGACATTTTAAAAATCTTTGGCAGCTCATAATTTTGTTTTAGGATATTTTCTTTTTCTTATTGTTAATGCCAGTTAGGATAATCAGTCCTTTATTTTTTTCGTATCTACATCAGCATATTCCATCAGTTATCTTTGAATACAAATCTACTGTTAGCACTTACCCCTATCAAGTCAAACAGATTGTGCAAATGGCATAAAAGATGAAAGAATTTATTATTACACATCCTTTTAGTTAAATGGAGTTGTTAGGTTCTTGTCTAAAATATTTTTGTGATGAATTACTAAGTTGATAAGAATACCATATGTTCCTTCTGATTTAGAAATGTGTTATTCATCTAGTAGTTCTTGAGTTCTGCAGAATTTATCCTAGGATATCATCATCTAACAATTCATATGAAATGTCTTTTAGATGACCTATTTTCCTATATCATTAAAGTCCAGAGTACTGCTATTTCTTCGCTTTCATCTTCTGATTTGTGCATTAATTGTGAAATATCTTTCCTTGACAAGTTTCTTTGCTTTACTATTGTAAGTGGAAAACGAGAAAGCTTAAATATTCATTTTTTTTTTTTTTTTGTCAATGATAGCTAAAAGCAGACTCCAAAGATGGGGTCTGCATTCTTGTTTTATGCTTTCTTGAAAGATGATGCAATATTTTAGGCAATAGAGTTAGAAAATGGAGGAAGGGTTCATTATTATATTTTTCTCCCAAGCATCCCATTCTTTCAAATTCTTATTATTTTAGTCTTTTAAAATATAGTTGGATATAATTGTTGAATGATAATAAAATAATTTCTAGGATGTGAAATAGCAAAATGTTACAAGAGATCACTAAATTCTATAATATATCTTGGATTTATAAAAGCACCCAGTGAATAGATATAGTGTTTACTAGATGGAATGAGTTGTTATTTTTTTTAAACAAGGTGTTTTTGCGGTACTGGGGATTGAAGTCAGTGCTTCAGCACATGTTAGACAAGCTCTTGCTACATCCCTATCTTTTTTTTGGTGGGGGGGGGTTACTGAGGAATGAATTTAGGGGCATTTGACCACTGAGTCACATCCCCAATCCTATTTTGTATTTTATTTAGAGACAGGGTCTCACTGAGTTGCGTTGTGCCTTGCTTTTTGCTGAGGCTGGCTTTGAACTCATGATCCTCCTGTCTAGGCCTCCCTAGCCACTGGGATTACAGGTGTGTGCCACTACGCCTGGCAGCTACATCTCCATCTTTAAGTGAGTTTTTCCTCGTCTTTTGAAGTCCATTAAGAGGAATAGAATAGCAGTAAGAAGGGATAAAATATCAATCATTAAAATTTTTAGAACTACATGAAAAGGAAACTCATAACTTAAAACTGGGTCCATTGGATCTTAACTGAGTTAAGGATTCTGTGGATCTTTATTGATTTATATATTTATCAGCCTCGTATTGTCCACTGTTTGATATTCTGTGAACTTACAGTGTTCTTTTAAAATATCAAGAATAAAAAATATAATTACAAATCATAAGTTTAACTTATATTTTCTCCCAAATATTTATTTTAAAAAGATTTGATTTTTATGACATAGCTTGCTTTTAAGTCATGTTTAATTTTAGAATTTGCTTACAATTACTTTTGGAAATGGCAGGGAACAGGTGAAACAACATTGGGTTTCTACTCAGTTTATGACATCTCAGGTGTACTTTATCTTATAGACCACCTATGTAATTTACTTACAGGTATTTCTGTATTAATTCTATTTGTATCGCTATTGAAAATTGGGTAAGAAGAATACGTCACTTTTGAAATTTTAAGTCTTTATTATGAATGTCAAATAAATTTTATTAAGTGCCCATATTCATATTTTTTTCTTTTTTAAACAGATTTTTTCCATCCATCTATCTACTTATTTATTTATTTGTTGTTGATGGACATTTATCTATCTATTTATTTATTTATTTATGGTGCTGAGTACTGAGAATAGAACCCAGTGCCTCACATATGCTAGGCAAGCGCTCTACCACTGAGCTACAACTCCAGCCCCACATTCATTCTTAACTCTTTGCAGCTACCTGAGACATGCTTAAAAAAAAAAAAAAATAGATTGAATACTTACTTACAAAGGGTCTATTTTGTAAACATGCAGTCCATTATTTAAAGCTTGTTTTTTTTTTTTCTTCCAATTTTTAAGTTTTTGGTACTATTAGGGATGAAACCCAGGGCTTGATGTATGCTGGCTAGTTGCTTTACCACTGAGCTACTTCCCCAACCTTTGTACAATTTTAATAGTTCAAAGGGAATAATCAGAATTTGATAGACTCTATAACTTGTCTGTTGTGCAGTATTTGGGGTGTTTTGATTTTATTTTTTGGCAGATACAACATTTTTGCTGGTTTCAGTTTTCTTTAGTATTTTCTGATTGTCAAGGATTAGTGTTAGATGCTAACTTTTGGATAAAGAGTGGTTGTAAGGTTTAAAGGAATAACAGAAGTCTAAAACTACCACATTTTTTCCTAATAAATAATTCATTCTAAATTTATTCTATGTAAATATATGATCTCTAGTAACTGATGATTGTTTCATAATTATATAGAAGTAAGCAAACATAAATGACTCTAGCTTTTTTGGGAGAGTTGTGGGGCAGTGCTGGGGATAGATCCTAGGTCCTTAGCACTATACCACTGAGATGCCCATAATATTTGAATGTTGATCATTTACTCATTTAGGGGGAGATTACATATATTTTCAGATTCTTAGCTCATAAATCTAGAAGTAACATATCAGTGCTTTATAGAAATAAAACCAGGAAGGTATATAGTTATCTTTTTGCCTTTGTTGGAGTATAATTTAATTCTGATTTACTAATTAAGTTACCTCAGTTTATGCTGATGACTTAAAAAATTTTTGTCCTCTGAAATCTGCCAGGTTTGTAGTATTCACATTTGTCTATTGCAAAGTAATTTGTTTCACTGAATGAGGTTTATATGTTAGGAAACATTCTCTTATTTAGGAAGTCAAAACTTTAGTTTTAAGAAAATGTTAAAATTAAGCTTAAGAAGAATATTCCATGCTTTGGGAAAATGTTGACATTATCATGTGAGAAAAACAGGGTATAGTGTATTTTGTAAAAAATTCTGAATCTATATTTAGATACAAATGCTTAGGTAAAAGACTGGAAATTTTGTGTGCTATACTGTTAATTGGGATAACCATTGAATAGGTGGTTTGCATGCTTCTTGGGTACTTGTATGGGTTCTTAGAGTTTTCTAAAATTTTAAGTTGTAAAACTTTAAAAAATAATTCAACTTGCCCATTATGTACACTGGAATAACAATTTGTTATTACCCTACAGTAACACACAGTGCACACAGTTGGTAAAGAATACCTTCCTGTAATCCTATCATGAATATTGAGTTTTATGGGGAAAATTACTTGATGCCTGGAAAGTGTATTGGCCTGTGGCTGTAACTATAAATGTTACCTTCTTGTGGTTGGTCAAAAGCCCATGATATTTGGTGGTAAAAACAAGTTCTGTAAATTTATTTTGGAGTTGTAGTTAACCACTTTACATATTTATTCTCTCTTAAAATATACTCTTTCATTTTTAGGCATTATCCAATTGGTTTGCTATTTGATCTTCTTGCATCAAGTTCAGCTCTTCCTTGGAACATCACAGTACATTTTAAGGTATAGTTTAAATAGCATTTCCCATTTGTCCCACTTGCAATACTTAATAAATAGAGTAGTTTTTTTTTTTAAGTGAAGTTATTTATTGTTTTCCTTATGACACCCTTAGTTGCTAAGCTTCCATTAGTGTTTGCTGTAAAATATTTTTCAATTTCTTCCTAACTTTTGGCTGATCCACTTAAAGTTTTAATGATAAGTAGCCCCCCCTTTTTAAATTAGAGCTAAATCTGCTATTTTGAGAATTTATAATAGTTTTTGAAAATTTATGTTTTATTTTAAAAATCAAATAGAATAAAATTCCTGAGCATAGATGTGCACAAGGCTAGGAAGGAGGACAGCCTAATGCTTTTTAGTAGTTCTAAGACTAATGTGATTGAATGAGGAGAAGAGTTAGATGCAAGTCCAAAGATTTGATGTATCTCTCTTTTGAGAAATGTTCATTCCTGTAGTGTTTAAGACCAGGATAAATTTAGTATGATATGCTTTAGTGTCACTGTATTACAGACATATTCCACCATTCTTCTGCTCTACCCTCCAGTTCATTTGCAAACACTGTTGAAGAATTGAAAATACTTTTAATTGCTCATGGACAGTAATTCTCAAATGCAGTGGGTAACAGAGGGGAGGCATAGAGTTTGAGAAAGTCACTTAGGTGTCTGATTTGCTTTCTTGAAGGGGTACCAATTCAAAGTCAATGCCCATCCATTCTTCCTATGATGCTTTTCCTTCCCGTTTTATTGTAATGAGTGTGGGTCACTAGAGCTTCTTATTTCTCTGTGTATGTACACTAATATGCATTGCACAGTACTATGTTATTATAGCTCACGGTTGCCATAAAACCTTACAGTTGGAGCATGTGATTCTAATATGTGTGAATTTTAGTTCCCATGATATATTGAGAGCAAGAACTGCATGTACATACAGCAATTTACATTTACAGTAGTGTGAAAATAAAACTTCTTCAAATATATTAAGGCTAGAGGTTATGTATTAACAAGTCTTTCCTGTTAATGTTGGAAAATAAGAGTACAGTATTTATATTGTTTACTTTTGTTTGAGTATATGTTTGGGTATGAGAGAGAGAGAGTGTACCCTAAAAGACTTTGAAATGTAAGTTAAAATGTGTTGTAGCTATCTGTTAATTAATTCTTTGGGTAAATATTGAGATTCTTCTCTGAGCCAGCCAGTCTCGGTTCTAGGAGCTTGGGATACATAGAATGATGGAGTGACATTCAAAAACTCAAGCATTTTAGGGTACTTAGTGGTACTACATAAGTTATTGGTTGAAGGAGTCAGTGGATTATAATGATAGGAAAAGAAAGATTAAGGCGTGTTTGCATTGGTATAGTGCAGTGAGTCTAGAAGCAATGTGAGAACCCCTGGGGTTGGGGGCATGTTCCCTGAAATCCTTTCAGGAGATCTATTAGGTAAAATCTATTCCCATGATAATATTGAATATTATTTGCCCTTTCTACCGTGTTAACATTTGCACTGATCTGCAAAAACAGTGGTGGTTAAAACTGCTGGGGACCTAAGCATAAAGCAAAGCAGTGTACCAAGTTACTAGTGGTCATTCTGTTCTTCAGGACTATCCACTTACAGTAAAAAGAATACTTGTTCACCTAACACTGTTCTGGATAAAGTGTTTTTTGTTTTTGTTTTTTCCGGGGGGAGGGGAGTGGTCCTGGGAATTGAATCCAGGGTGTTGCACATCCTAGACAGATATTCTACCATTGAGCTATTAGGTGCAATTCAAAATTATTACTTATTATTAATCTTAATTCTTAAGTACATGTGTTTTTAATACCTTGTGTGATGAAATGGGTAGTACACATAAAGCACTTTTCTGGGAAGACAAATATGGTTGTCTTAGAGAAAAGCATGTGTCCCCTACATGATTTGGTTTCCAGCTGAACTAGCCATATTTTTCTTAGGATATCTGACACACTTTGGGTGCCAGTGATTAAAAAAACTTCAAAGTGAAAACTACAATTTTAGAAAACACGAATCTGCCACTATGAGTGTGACAGCCCCTTTCTGTTAGAATTTTCTAATGAGACTGATGGTAGTTTTAACATACAGTTTGTAAAAAAAAAAAAAAAAGAAAAAAATTCATGGAGTGAAATGTGTCAACATTTGGAGATCTACATAACTCAGTGAATAAACATTTTCTAGATGAGCAATATATAATGTTACAAAATTATGCCTTGTGTAAAATGACCCATTCAAACTGCAAGGTTAGAATAAAGAATTTTAATGTATAAATGGTCACTGGTATGGTTTTAGATTACACATCAGTATTATAATCAACTGCACTTTTGGAATTAGGTATAGTATTGAAGAATACTCACAGATTTGAAAAGGATACCAAAATATAATTTTTACCAATTATATGTCTTTATGAGCCTGGATTTTCTTTATAAATTTCAACAAAATGACATATTGCAAAATATTGAATATAGAAGCCAATGAGATAGTTCATCTGTCTTCTATTAAGAAATTAAAGATATTTGTAAAAAATGCACAATAATACCACTCATCTCCCCAGTTTTTTGTTTGTTTTGTTTTTTCATTCTGGAAAACAGTTATTTTTAATGAAGATAATATTTTTTTCACTAACATGATGGATTAATTTTGGTTATTTTAAATGAGTTAATATTTTTAAATATCTCTAGAATCATGTAAATATGATAATAATGTAATCTTCATTAAAAACAAGCTCTCTTTTGCCAGTTTTCTTCCAAATAGGAAGGTTTATTAGAGAAATCAAATTGGAGACTCTTTAAACTACTAAGAAAATTACATAGGATGGTTTAAGTTTGCTGACACCACAGCTTTCAGCTACTTGAGCCTTTCTTTCAGCTACTTGAGTCTTTCTGATCCTAGTCAGTGTTGGAGGAAAATTATTGCCCCAATTCCCACCCCACTTAAATACTGTGTACTGAGTTCCTTTATGCATTATATTATGATCTAGCTTACCCCAAAGATTGTCTACAGGTATTTAATCAATGTCTTGTACTAATTTTATAGGCCTCCTACTTTGTACTATCCTGGCACTTTTAGCTGATTATAATGAAATTTAAAGGATTAATTTGGAGGTAGGAAATCAATGCTTTTTCCCCCCTTTTTTAAGTTTCTAGAAGATAGTTTACTTTCTTTCAACATATTGTGTTTATTAGCAATTTATATTAGTTAGTGGTTAGTGTTCCAGCATTTATTTCATCTTTTATGATGTGGTCTTGCATGTGCTAAGTGATATTTGTATTTAAATCAGACTTGTTAGAGTTTTATTTAACAGCTGATTTCAAATTTCAAAAATCTTGATTAGATTTTATGTAGTACTAAATCCTACAAGAGACCCCAGTGCCTCTGATATGATCAATCAGATAGACTGATACTTGAAAAACAAACAAAAACCTGCCGAAAACTTTGCAACCGTGTGTTTTCTATTTTTTAAGCCAACTTTGATGCTTGCGATTTGAATAGATTTATAATATTTATCATGAATATGTTTTATTGTCTATAGTAATGTTTTGGGAACTTTAACAAGCTTTCAAATTACCTCTGTATCAAAGTGCAGATTGTGATTCTGTAGGTTTAGGGTGGATGCAGAGATGCTGTATTTCTAACTAGCTTACAGGTAATGTGATACTATTGGTCTACCAGACTACATGTTAAGTAACAAGAGTTTAGAGAATACTGTAGATATAAAAGTGAATAATAATTGTCTACAGAACCAAAGGGTTTTACAGATGAGTCAGAATGTGTTTTTATAAGAATTTATGAATTCTGAGAAAAATACTATATAATTATAACATGTTAACTGCTTTAAAATGTGCATATTTGGTTATTTACCTTGATTTCTTTCACTGTTTGCCAAAATAGGAGTGAAAATTATACTTCTTCACTCTTTTCTAATTTTAATGATTTTTTTTTTTTTTTATTTCTGAACTCAATTTAGCCTACTAAGAAAATTTTCTCATTTCTGTCTTCTCGGTTTTTTATAGAAACATTCAGACCTGTATTAGAAAAGTTGAGAGTAGTTCAGTTAACAACCATACACTTGTTAACATTTTGCCATTTTTGCTTTGCTGTACTTCTCTGTCTCCACCCTCTCCCCTCCTTTGATTTTTTCTTCCTTAGTCCTATAGGCATGCTGCTTGTAAATCTACATTAATGCAAAAGGATCCTTTCAGTGTGTGGAATTTTTCAAAAGGGTGTTAGTGTGATTTGAAAATTTAGTGATATCAAGTGAGGATATCCAGCTCTTTGAAATGCCTAGTTCTATCTATAATGTAAATGCAGTTTGTTGCTCTATTGGGGTGGGGGATTAAAAAAAAAAAAAAAAAAAAAAACCCTTGGTTTTTTTCTTTCTTTGCTGGTAAAATGGTGCTGATTTGTTTTTAAAAAGAGCAGATATCATTTTGAATTTATTAAGGGCAAGAGCTCACATTTGCTAAGCAAATGAGGATAGTACTAATATGCTAAACTCCCCTGAATGTTGGGAATACCACAAGTTAGATATGCCAGACCATCCTGTTGTGCTTAAACAGACACTGCTGCTGGTTCTGGCTGTTCTTGAGAGTGCTCATATGACTGACCACACCTGATTTCTGATGGACAGTTTTTTTGCTATGCCAGAACCCACTTGTCTTAGTGAAAAAATGTATCATATCTTTGTTTCTATTCTCTGTTGATGACATAGGTGTGAGGTAGCTTTCCATGTTCTTCAGTGTAGTTTATGGCTTCTCTCTTGCTTCTACACTGCTTGTGCTTTCCAGCAATAAATATTTGTGGTTGTTTTAGAGTATCCCTCAATAGTATGTTGTTTTAGTTATCTATTACTGTTTGACAGACTACAGGTTGAAAATTCCTTGTCCAAAAAGCTTGGAACAAGAATTCTTTCAGATATTGGGTTTTTGTTTTGTTTTTTGGAATATTTGTGTAGACATTACAATTTGAGCATTGCTAATCCAAGAAATCCAAAATATGCCAAAATC